GGTGTCCTGGTTCTGCTGGAGACGGCCCCCAGCAGACCAGAGGCACCGGGAGCAAAGCCAAAGCGGCGGCGAGGTGCCGTGCTTCTGAGGCTTTGCTCTGGCAAAGCCTCAGAGGCGCGGGACCCCACCACGGCTGCAGCTTTGCTCCCGGTGCCCCGGTTTGCTGGGGACCGTCTCCAGCAGACCAGAGGCACCAGGAGCAAAGCCGGGGAGGCGGAGGGGCGCTGGGGTGCTGCCGGTTGGCCTCTTAAGGGGGCGGGTAGTCTTATAAGGCAAGTATAAGACGAAAACCTATTTTTTAACTAGAAAATTAGGGGGTCGTCTTATATGCCCAGTCGCCTTATACGCCGGAAAATACGGTACTCGGATCTCCCAAAGAAAAACAAAATTCTCCTATGGTCAGAGAACAAAAAATTTAAGAGAAGAGCTTTACAGTAAAGTTAAAAGAGGGGATATACTTAGATTTATAAGCAAACTATCTTACAAACTATTGCTCCAGAATATGCAGAAGTGTAACATTAGAAATAAAAAGTTCTGCAAAGTGGCATTACTCATTTGACAAGCACATTTTCTTATTTCTTAAATTGTTATTCTTCTTTCCTGTTGTTTGCGTGGGTCTTCCACACAAGGGGAACTGACAGGGGCTCGGAAAAGTAAACGGAGAGAAGTCAACACAATGAATATGCAACAGATGAAAGGACTATTTCTATAGCATTGGTCCATTGCTTGAAGTAGAGTTTAGTGCTGTTCAAGAAATGGACCATCTGTTCCAGTAGCATTGTTCTGAATATTGTGCTCACGCTTACTGGCATATAAGTAAGTGTCAGACGCAGATTTATCACCTAACCATTTAACAACAAAAAAAGGGGGGTGGGGACAGGAGGAGGGAGGAGAAAAACAGAGCCAGACTCTCCTGCTTTCCAGACCATGTGCCACTGGAGCAGCACACAGCATAAGGTGTGCTCAGCTGGCACAAAGCCAGCACATGTGACAGTGTTCCCACTGCTCAGCTAAAGAGAGAGGGAGAGAAGCAGCATGGTTAGAGCAGTGTGCTCTGCTGACAGAGTGTTTCAGGCTAACCTCAACAGAAATAGATGCAAGACAACTTCAACTTACTGATGGAACACATGCCTCCTCTGCCTCATCCCAGCCAAAAAAGTTTGAGATGTTCCACCAAAACATCTCTTCTCATCCACTGGGCCAGGAGTTTGGAGTTCTGATCTCTCTTTGCCTTTGAAAGTGCAGTGCTCCTTGCCTCACTCACATACTTCCCCTTACTCTCTGTTTTGCATGCAAGTGTCCCGCAAGCCAATACATACATGTGCACACCACACCCTGAGGTATGATCAAATATCTTTAGCATATGATTAACAGCAAGGATCCATTGAGTTCTAATACTGGTGAAGACATTCTCTCAATGCCTGCTCTCTGCCTCATTTCTTTCTGCCTCGCCCTGCAAAATAAAGGGCACTTATTTACTTGTTTTATGAAGAGCTTTTTGCAAGGCACACTGAAGAATACTGTCAATGCTATCCCCCACTCTGGCACTTCGAGTGCAGAATGTGGGGTCCCGCAAGGGGCTTTAAAAATACAGTAAAACTCCAATTGTCCAGCATCCAGTGGTCCGGCACTCCTGATAGTCCAGCACCAACTGGAACCCGAAAGTGCTCCGGACAGTTGGACAATTGGAGCTGTTCTGCCCCGGCTTCCTCAAGTCCGCTGCTGCTCAAACTGACCAGCGGCTGACTTGGGGAAGCCAGGGGCAGAGCAGCTGGGGTACTGCCAGGTTGGTCCCGCAGCGCCGCTCTCTCCCATGCTGTGCAGTTCCCCGCCGACCTCCACCCCCCCACCCCAGACTCATAGCCCCCCTTCCGGTACTCCGGCATATCTGGTAATTCGACACCCCCTGGGTCCTAAAGGTGCCGGATTATCGGAAGTTTACTGTACCTTGCCTTTACCACAGATTTTGTGACCTTGGGAGGTATGCTACCACTACACAAATGAAAAAAATCCCAAGCTTCCGAATCCCAGAAGATTCACTTGCGAACTTCTTCCAAAGGGGTACCCCAAACTCTTTTACCACAAGAGAGTTTGAAAAAACAAACAAACTAATCTTTCATAGCTGACCTTCCAGTCTTAGGCATGCAGAGACAGACCTTCTATTATCTTCCAGGACACAAGAATCAGATCAGGTCTTAAAAGGTGATTTTATTAACAAAACAAAAAGATATACTTGGTAAAATATATTAGGTTGCTAGGTGTTAGAGCAACTGAGAAAAACAGATTAAAGCACGGAGGCATTCAGCTCTACTTAGTGGAGGGAACACATGGACTTAGCACAGAGGAATTTAACCAAACTACAAAACAAAGAAGATAACCTGATCACATCTAATTAAACATTTTCTATCACTTACATATCCATAGCTTCAAGGTCCAGTCCATTTCTAGACGTGGCTATTCCTGCCTGATTCAATTAATCTCCCTTAATCTCCCTCTCCTCTTCACCCCAGCTCCTGGTTTGAACTCCCACAAAAGAACTGCAGCAGACAGATTCCCTTTCCATTCAAATTTCAACACTTCCTTCCCATTGGTTCTCCTGGATCCTTGTTACCTTGGGTTTAACCATTTAGTTACTGAATACTAGGATATTTAGAAAAGGGTAGCACTCTCCCACCCATCATTAATATGCATTACAAACAGTGTTGTTGGTTTCATGGGTTTTGGTGTGTTTCATAATTTCCAACTGGGATCTAGATATTGCATGAAAACTTCAGTTTTCATTTAAAAAAAATAAAAGTTTCTAGCTCCATAATTTTGGAGAAAAACATGAAATTAGTTTATCCCAATGGCAATTTTTTTTTTAAAAAAAAGATAAGATTTTTAAGCCAATTTCATGATTTTTCAGACTTTACTCGAGTTTTGAGCACTGGAGGTTAGCAATACTGTACTCATATGACTTATTATTGATATAGCACCCATATTTTGCTTGGTACTTTAAAAGCATTTCTTCTGGGTTTTTTTCTTACTTTGAGAGTGAAGTGCAAAGTCAATGGTTTTTTCATGCTACAATATGAATTATAGACACAGAAAAAACCCATTCACCTCACACACACTTGCTCCATTAAATGTTACAAAAGCATAAGAATATCCAGGAAGTATGATAAAAATAAGTTGCAGGCCTTTTATAGTGAAGATACAGTGCTAGTTTTAAACAAACTGGGATAGCTACAGAAGTGCTAACAGTTTCTGAAAGATCAGGTAGGCCAGAAGGCAATGAAGATGTGGAATTGTATTAGTTTTGACAGAAAAAGAAATTAATCCCGTTCTGTGTGTTCCATTATGAGATCCAACCCAACATTTACTGGCAATTTAATTAGCTGTCATATTAAAATTTTCCAACTAAAATAACCCAACTTCCTGAACAAAAATCTGTATGTTAGCCAAAAAGCTTCAACTTAATATTTTTTTGGAGAAGGGAGGAATAGGATACACTTAAATTTAATTTAAGATACATTTAATTAATATGCAATAGTCAATTCATATATATGATGTATATATGGCTTTCTTTCTGTAACTAAATCCTAACTGTGTGTGTTTAATGTTAGATTCAGGTAACTGAGCTATACTAAAAAGCCTACGCTCCACTGATAAATTTATCATAATTTATCCATAAAAAGTGCTGAACCCCCTACACTTTTTCAAGATACACAGTAAGGGTATGTCTACACTCACTACAGGACAAAGCTGAGTTAAGATATGCAACTGCTATGTTAATTGCACAGGTGAAGTCCAAGTATCTTAACTCAACTTTTGGCCCTGCCTACACAGCAGGAAGTTGAAGGAAGAACACTCTTCCTTTGACTTCCCTTACTCCTTGGTGAAATGAATGTTACCAGGAGTTGGAGTAAGAAGTCCTCCAGCTTGACATCATTTAAAAATAAAAGCTCGTAGTGTAATGCTGCTGTGTAGACGTACCGTAAGCGACCATGAGATTTTACTTAGCCAGACTCTGGATGACCTCTATGCTAGTATATAGATGTTGGGTTGAAAAAGTAGACACACAAGAAGCTCAGCATTCACCAGACATCTCTGAATGAGCATTACAACTGTTATTTGAACATTCATGTTGTCACCATTTCAGTGCCATACTCCAACAACAGAGATAGAGAAAAATGAATAATAAAGTATTTGTTAGAGGTTTGCAATTTTGACATGAAAGGAACTTTTGCATAAAGCACCACACACACAGGATATCCTGTTCTATTGCATAAGCGTCACACAAGCAAGATAGTATAGTTTTCAAATATTTTCTAAATAAAAGCACTGTGGTCAAACATATTTACTGACTTTTTTTTCTTTATCCTACTCCATAAAGCATACCTCTTCCAAAAGTCTGGTCTTCTGCAAGATTTGTTTGTTTAGAGATGCTACCTTCCTTCGGTGCTGCTGGGCAGTTCCAACTCTTTCTGGACGCTCCTCAGAGGAAAGCTCAGATTGCTGAAAATACATAAAAATCACCAAAATCAACACATGGTTGAATTGCACTTAGCCAGTATTTGCTTTACAGGGACATAGGAACACAAGACTAGGCAGGGTAGAGGCATTATAGTTCATCTAATCCCATATTCTGTTTCAAGAGTGACCAATACTAGCTCTCTCATTGGAAAGTGCAACAACCGCACAGCAGGCAGATATAGGATATTATTCCCACTACATTGGTTTCACCATTGCACGTGGCTTCCACTGAGGTCAGGAGGCAACTGTAAAGATGAATTATATGATAGATGCATGGAATGAGTTCCTTTTAGGAATGCATATATTTTAAGAGTTGGAAGAACTCCTCTGGACAGCCTTTCTGAAACACTCCAGTATTCTATAGTGGTATTCTAAAATAATACAGGTTAATACAAGAGAAATAGACACTTTGCACCTGTACAGTAAATGGATGATCCTGTTAAAGCAGTAAAACTGCTTTTAACAACAATTCAAGAGTGCTGCAGCTGAAACTAAAGTTGATTAAAAAAAGATGCAGGAAAAAATGGGGAACAATTTAAAACATTTCTCACTGGGAAAAAAGGGGAAGTTACTCACCCTGTGCAGTAACGACTGTGCTTCAAGGTGTGTCCCCCCATGGGTACTCCACTGTTGGCGACAGGTGATCCCTGGAGCCGCAGAACGGAGTCTTTTGGGAAGTTATTGGTTGGGCCACACTTGCGTGAAAGGTACCTTGTGCCATTCGCACCTTGGTGCCTAACGCACGTGACCCAATGCCCCCCTCCCTTCAGTTCTTCATGTATGCCCGAGAAAGCTGGGCTCTGAGTAGAGGAGAGGAAGGGAGGGTTGTGGAGCACCCATGAGGACATACACCTCAAAAAGTAGTTATTACTACATAAAGTAACTTCCCTTTCTTCTTCAGGTGATCTCCCTGTGGGGGATGCTACACTGTTGTTGACTACACAGCAGTACTCTGTATGGGAGGTGAACTCGGAGTCACTGCTTGATAGCAGAAGCTAGCACTGCTGTAGCCATGGCCGTATCAGCTGACAATTGAGGCATGATGGCATGCATAATTGTTTGGCAAAGGTTTGGTCAGAAGACCAAGTAGCTGCTTGGTAAATGCCTGGGAGTGGTACTTTGTTCAGGAAGGCAACAGAGGTTGCAGCTGCACATTTGGAGTGGAGATGAGTGGTTTATTCCAGATGGAGTAACAGTGCAATATACAGAAAGATATCTACTTGGAGATGTGCTGGACTGAAATCGGCATACCCTCGGGTTATTCAGTGATGGAGATTTGTGAAAGTCACGTGTCCTGTCTATATAGGCTAATGAGCACCGTATGTCTAAGGAGTGCAACACTGCCCCTTTAGGGGATGCTTGAAGGTTCAGAAAAAAAGGTGGGAAACACTATGGGTTCATTGATGTGGAATGAGGTGCTAATCTTTGGTAGAAACGCAGGATGCAGATAGAAGGTAACCCTATCTTTTGAGAAGACTGTGTAAGGTGAGTCAGTCAGTCAATGCACCTACCTCACTGACCCTCCTCACTGAGGTGATAGCAACAAGGAATAACTCTTTCATGATAAGGAAGGAAAGAAGGAATGTGGCCATATGGAGGCTCAAATGGAGATCACACGAGGCAGCCTAGAACCAAGTTCAAGTCCCATGAGGGCACAGGGGGCCTATGTGGAGGACAGAGATTCAGAAGACCCCAAAGGACTCTCCTCGTAGTGGGATGTGTGAAGACAGACAACCTATTGGTGACAAGTGTACCTTCAGGAAAGAAAGAGATAGCCCACAGGTCTTTTGGTGTAGCATGTAGTCCAGGACAACGGGAAGTGAAATAGTATTGGAAATGAAGCAATCTTGTTGACACTAGAGGGAAAAACGCTTCCATTTCTGCAGGTTAAGTCAGTCTAGTAGATGGCCTTCCCACTGTGGAGGACAGATCTCACTTGTTTAGAGCACTGGGACTTCAGGTCCATGAAACCAGAGAGAAGCCAGGGAAGTAGGTGAAGGGTTCAAGGTTGAAATGGAGCAGCTTGCCTCAGTTCTGAGAGAGGAGGTCGTGGCGGTGAGGAAACTGGAGTGGTGGCGCTATCAACATGCAGTGGAGATATGGGAACCAGGTTTGCCTTGACCACAATGGGGCTCTCAGAATAACTCAAGCCCTGTCGGATCTTGCAGAAGACCCTGGGGATAAGCAGGATTGGAGGGAATGCATGATAGAGTAGTTGGCCTCATCGGATTAGGAAGGCACCTTCCAATGAGGCCTGTCCCAGATTGGCCCTGGAACAAAAATGAGGGCACTTGGCATTCTACCAGGTGGCGAAGAGATCTGTTGACCGACTACCCCAAAAGCGGAATACTTGTGTCAACTCAGCTGGGTGTAGTTTCTACCTGTGATCGGTGGAGAAGTTGCGGCTGAGGGCAACTGCTATGACACTGTTTACCCCAGGGAGGTTTGCTGCCTTCAGAGTAACTCCATGACAAATGCACTGCTGGAGCGCTTGTACATTTCAAAAGCAGAATTGCAGCAAAAGCAGAGGCTTCTTTAGTCCCCACTCAAGCCATTTCCACTGTGCCCAGGGATTGCCATAATACGGAGGCATATTCCAAAATCCAGAAGAGTAAATATTCTGATCTGTGTAAGGAGAATGGTGAAAAATCCCTAGAGAAGTCATCGTCAGAATCAGACGAAAATTTTTCTTGAGAGAGTGATCTCTGTGATGTTAACATGGGAGGAGAGCTCTCAGGTTGTAAAAATGGTGAGTTAAACACGGATGAGTCTCTGTGCTGAGTGTAGTGCCCAACAGGTGTTGCCAGTGCCATAGAGGGAGGCACAGAAGCTGAGGTGCTGAATCACGCCTTGGTGCCGAGGGCAGTTGTGGCACTCTGAAAGCAGCAGTACTGCACATACACATATGATAATCCCCACCTCTCAACTCCTTTTTGGGTCAAGACTCTTACAATTACAATACCTTGACATTTCAAACTTAAACTAATTGAAATAATGAAATTCATGATTTCTGAAATCCCATAACTGTGACATTGACCAATATGGACCATAAATTTGGCCGGACCTTGCCCATTGATCATTAATATTACTGTGTGGTGCCCGTATAGAGCATGTACAAAAATATAAATATTTGCTAAAGTTTAGTTCTTAAAATTCATTTGGCAAGCCATGTATAACCTAGTCTGCTTTAGATAAAGGAATGTGTATTTGTCTGACGAGTTTGGTTGTCAGGTAAAGATAATGAAAGTTTTTCAATGGAAGATAAACAAAGCTATCCACACAGAAAGGCATAGAGTTGGACTCAACTATAAAGAGGGAGGTCTGAATCTCATATGATACAGCTGAATCAACTGATTCGATGCACTATTACTGTGTTATAAAAGTGTAGCATCATGCAAAGTCTTAGGAAAACCTTGGAGATCCTGATCATTAATATCCTTGTGAAATGTATACATTAATTCTATACTACGAATTACAGACACACACGGATTATGAGAGATGTAACAGTAACTCAGTTCTGGGAACCTAAACAATTTGTCAAACTGACAGATGGTTTTTGGGGGGAATTTGGAATTGGGAGGCTATATGCTTTACTCTGCAAAAAGTATCTAGGCAGTGGAAGACTGAGTGGGACCTACACACTTATGTTTGTTCATTTGCTTGCTGTAGCAGCATAGCATAGAAAACACCCACAACTGCAGGGCAGATAACAATCCTTTTCTGATCTGGGTTGAATCCCAAGAGTGATAACACACCCTTCTATATTCCCAGTGTTGGTTTCGCCTATATAATGGCCTTTTTTCTCTGAATAGGATTTAACCAAGTATATTGCTGCTTCTCCCACAACATACCAGAAATACAACCTCTCTGTTCAGACAGCACTTGCTTAAAGCCTTGGTCATCTGTAATCTTTGTTTGATCAAGATATGTCCTTCTGACAAATGATCATTAAAATTTTAATTTAGATATACACAAGTTTTATTCTACTCAATGTGTCTCAAGCTGAACAGGACGGCGTTTCTTGTGTGAAAAATAAACAAATTTAGATAACTATATCTTTAAAAACTATTCTGAAGTTATAAATTTGCTATAGTTTCATCTACCTAGACAGGTTAGGAAACATGAACCGACACACATTATTTAACATGGTAAACAGCTTTATAACTGGTATGCTTATCACAGTTTTACATAAAACTTGTGCATAACTCAGATTAGGTTACATCTTGTGATGCTGAAAGCCAAATATAAACAAGAGAAACCTATAATCTCTTGTTTTTTGATTTTCCAAAATGAACAACGATTCTGAATAAGATATTTACAACTAGACTATACAGGTTGGACCTTCCTGGTCTGGTACCTTCAGGGTCATTACTGGTCTCACTTTCCGGCTCCACCCCTGGTTGGGCCACTGACCTGGCTCTCCCCCGACATTAGTCCTACCACCCCTTCTGCCACTGTGTCACTGGCCTAGCTGGACTCCCTGCTGCAGGGCTCCCGGCAGCCAGTGGGGCTGGGCTCCCATCCCCCCCCCCAGGACTCCCTGCCACCAGCCCTCCACTGGGACTCTCTGGTCCAGGAACATCCATGGTCCTGCAACTAGACTACAGATGTTGCCAGATCAGAGTCCCAGTTTAGAGAAGTTCAATCTCTATAAGATTTGTTTTACAGAGACTGACTTCATAAAACATTTTTCATTTAAGAATTACAGAAAAATTTGCTGTTAGCATCAGCTACACCAATTCCCAGTTTTAAGATTTAAAAGAAACAGATGTATTGAGCTCCTGAACTCGTCTGTTTCAATTGATGGCATATTCCTGTTCAATATACATCTAACAGAGCTTTGTTAACTTTCAGTTTTAGCATTTTATGTATGTTTACCTATTCAGGCTTTTGAGATCTTGTTAGTGTTTGATTTGTGCAAGACTAGACATCAATTTTACATAACCATAATTTGTCACCATTTTAGATGGAGCCCTTAATTT